GACCTCCTTCAAACCGGCGCAGCAATCGAGGTGCCAACATCGGCGCTTGCATGCATTAGCCCCCTCAACGTCGTTGAGCAGCGAGAAAGTGTCGCCTCATCCTAGATTTACGCAAAGTTAATAACGAGCTGTGCATTCCGAAGTTCAAGTACGAAGGACTATCTCGCGTGGCGGAACTTGCACATCCGGGGGATTGGATATTTTCAATTGATCTCAAGTCGGGTTACCACCATGTTGACATCCACGCGTCCTGTTGGAAATTCTTGGCCTTTTAATTCGAGGGGCATTCGTACTTTTCACATCAGTTCCGTTCGGACTAGCGACGGCGCCTTTCGTCTTTACTCAATTGATCAAGCAGTTGGCACATCGATGGCGAGCAACAGGGGTCCGCGTCATTCCCTATGTAGATGACATCCTCTTTCTGTGCCACAAAGAAGCCGTGGCTCGAGATGTCTGCACCCGCACAATCACAGACCTAAGAGAAGTGGGCCTCGTGATCAACGCCAAAAAGTCTCATCTCCATCCTACTCAGCAGCTAAGATTCATAGGATTGGAGCTCAATACCCAGCGGGGACAATTTTCTGTCGGCACCGAGCGACGAAGCGCCCTGCAATCCACCATCGCTTCATTAGTGGCAGCTGGACGTGCACAGCACAAAGTCACAGTACGGCAAGTCGCACGTATCACAGGCATGCTCGCCTCCATGACCCTTGCCCTTAGGGCGACTCCGCGAGCATTCAGTCATGCCTTACTACAAACCATCAACGATGCCTCTTCATGGAACAGCAAGTTGTTACTGTCCCCGAGTGCTTGCGAAGAGTTGGAGTTCTGGTCAACCGAGTTCGACCACTTCAATGGAGCCCCGTTTCATGTTTGTTGTAGCTACGACACAATCATTCCTGTCGACCCCAGCGCGCACAGGTGGGGGACCACACTCAACACATTCTCCACGACGACTCATAAGGCCTGCGCAAATATGCCCCCGGAACTACTTGCCATGTCCAGCACTCGTCGCGAGTTAGAGGGGGTGCTCTGGGCAGTGCAAACTTTCACCATCTTCATCCGGAACAAGCATGTGCTCATGCGTTTCGACAACCAGGGCGTATTCTAAAAAAGGGTGGATCACGCAACAGCTTTCTCACTACCGCATGCAAAGCCATCATCCTCACATGTATGACTCGTCGCATTCGTTTGATCATGGAATGGATACCTCGCGAGCTTAACACGCTCACGGACGAGCTCTCGAAGACTCTCGACCGAGATGACTACACCTTGAAGGCCCCATGGTTTAATCTTCTCGAACGACGTTGGGGGCCGCACTCTATAGATCTCTTTGCCAGTGCTGCGAATGCCAAGCTCCCCCGATTCTACTGCGAAAAGGCATTAGCGATCAATGCCTTCGCAACATCCTGAGCTGACAAACATGGTTTCGCTTTTCCACCACCACAATTGATCCCGGCAGTCCTTCACCACGCACAAAGGACATCAGCCTCACTGACACTCATTGTTCCCTTCTGGCCCGGGGCTAGTTGGTGGCCACTTCTCCAACCCTCGCCACCCGCCTGGGCCTCGCCGATCCGTGATTGCCCGCCTGGGCCTCGCCGATCCGTGATTGCCTGAAACTTACTCACGAAAGTCAATGCCTTGCACCGGGCAAGCACACCACAACATTCTCGGGTTTCGGCCCCCCATAGCATGATGATGGCCTTGCGCATCTCCTTCCGTTTGCTTACGTCCTCTCTAATCGCTTTAGGATTACTCTGCTCGCTGCACAGCCGATTGCTCACAATGATGCTGCAAACGCGTGCAGAATCTACGATCAAGACTTACGAACCATACTGGCAGCAATTCCGCACATTCTGCATAAAGACTAAATTACCATTCCTGCCTGCACAGGATATGACACTAGCGTTGTACCTCGTCTACGCCATTCGCCACCAAGCCACCTTCTCAGTGGTGCAACTCACTTGCTCGGCGGTTGGTTTTGCCCACCGCATGATTGGGCCCCCCTGCCCTACCATCGCCCCAATGACATCTCAAGTCCGAGAATTTGTCAAACGCCACTGCCCTCGGCCCCACCGAACCAAAGAACCGGTGTCTCTTCACCAAGTGCACACCATGGCCGCACACTTCATTAGCTCGGACGACCCATCCACCTTTCAAAAAGGACTCATACCGCTTCTCATGTACGCCGGCTTCCTTCGGTATTCGAATCTCGCCGCCATCGGCTGGAACGATATCCAGTTTGAAGACAGTGCCATGTGGCTACTCATCCTGCGCTCGAAGACCGACCAAGAGGGGAAGGGCTCATGGGCAGGGCTGACATTTCGTTGTAAGACTCCCTGATTCCAGTAAAAATTTTGACCCTCTATTATGAGGGCACATTTTTCGCAAGGTAGCTACCCTGATAGCTCAGTGTCACACGAAGTCCAACCCTGACCGGACAGGGTTCACAGCTCAAAAACAGGGTTGCTATTAACAATGCACTATTTTCCTAAATAAGACAAGTGCATGCAGTTTCCTACTCTATCTAGTCTAGTGCACGGGCTTGTCTATGAAGTACACCTCCTCCACATCCTCATCGTCCGACAGGAATGGATTGTCCTCCACTTCCTCCTCCCCCACGATCTCCTGATCGTCGTCAAAGGCCTGTTCCACTTCATCGTCGTCCTCCTCCTCCTCCTCCTCCTCCTCATCCTCATTCTCCCTGGCATTTCGAGCAGCCACATCTTCACCCTCCTTCTGCTTCCCTTTCCTCTCCCTCTCTGCTACAGCCAGCTTCAAGCTCTTCGCAGGGCGCCTAGTACGCAGGGACCTCCACACCTCCAGTGCCTCCGGCCAGTCGATCTCATACTTGAGGAGCGATATCTGCATCAGCTCCCCCAGACGCGCGTTGCACAGCGCTCCTCGCACCCAGGACTTGATGACGTTCTGCCTGGAGAACCCCCTCTCGCACTCCACGGTGGAGAGAGGGAGCACAGCCAGCGCCTGCCACAGCAGGATGAGGTTGGGCCATCTCCTGCCTGGCACATGCGTACACACAACACAACGGAATTAGTTAGCAATCAACAAGATTGTAAAACCCATGGACGCAAAGTAAAGGCTACCTCTTGGAGTCTGCGCTCCCAAGGAAGTTGGACAGGCCCTGGGTGAAGCTCTCCATCTCATGGTGTGCCTCCATGATCGCGCAGAAGGTTGGAAGCTCCCTCTCTGCTGCTTTGATGTCGAATCCCGGCAGCTTGTTGCGGAACAACTTGCTGCACCCGTTCAGCCACTCCTTACACTTCTTCTCTCGCTGGGCCTTGATCTTCGGCCACTTGCCCGCCCGGAACAGCTTCGTCGGCCCCACCTTCCAAAGGTCATCCAGTCGGTTGGTGAGGTTGTCCACGCAGTCACGGGCGAATTTGCGGCACAGCTTCACGCAGTCTGCGTAGGTGCTTCCGTGTTTGTGCCCCTTCACCTTCCGCTCATGCATGGTGTACAGGTGGTTGATCGGGCGCCCAGCACCGTCCACGCCGCGCACCCGGACCTGCTTGCCTCCACCCTCCTTGTGGACTTTGAGGAAGGTCACCAGCCAGCTCTTCCCTTCGCCCCCGAAAGCTTTCTCTGGCGTCAAGTAGCGCTCCACCAGTCACTCGTTGTGGACTCGATCATCTTCGCAATCTCTGTCACGTCCAGCTGTGGCAGAGCAGGGGTAGACAAGAGGGAGAAGGATGAGCAACAGTGCAGTTACGAACCTCACGTAGCAACATCATACAAACATGCGACCTCACCTCTCGTCTCTGGAAGCAGCGATTGAGGTCGTTCATGTCCGCCAAGATGTCAGCCAAGAAAAACAAGCAGAACTGAAACTTGTAGCAGGTGACAATCTCGTACCTCACATGGGGCCACTCGAAGAAATGATTACGCACAAGGGGGTTATCGAAACGAAACTTCTAGGAAACTTCGTCCCAATACCCTCGCATTCAGGGTCCACGGAACGCATACTCTGCATTGACAGACTCCGCAAGTACACTACCCTGAGCCTAGTTACAAGAATTCAGAGTCCGTTAAGTAGCTACTCTGATAGGATCAGAGTTCACAAAATACAAAACCTGTGTTTGCAAGGACCACCAAGTCAGAAGCCTGTAATCACCCTGAAATTAGGGTAATTACCCTGATATCGTCAGCCCTGCTCATGGGTGCCTATTGTTGCAAGCCAGGATATGGTCCTGCCACACCAGGGCCATTAATCCGAGTGTTTGGTTTGGCCACAAGCGACTCACTCCCAGTCAAACCACCATCGTATACCACAATATGCAATTGGTGCAAGGAAGCTTTCCACGCCGTCGGCCTCGGCGACCACGCGCTCGGCACCCACTCCTTTCGCAAAGGAGCATCAACTGTAGCGGCAAACGCAGGAATCGAGGACCGGCTCTTCAAACAGCTAGGCCGATGGCGCAGTGAAGCGGCCAAGGAAATGTATGTCAACCCCACCGCCGACCGTTTGATTGACGCCTCTCGCAACCTCCAATCAACGGCTCATGCGCCATTACCAGCACGACATTCCAGGGCCCTCAAGCGCCGCCGTCACGCCCCCTTGCACATGTCTCAGCGTCACCCGTTGTAATGAGAACGATGTCAATTGCTACAGAAGCACGCTTTCTCAATATGAAAAATTTCTAAGCGTTTATCGCTTTCAAATTTGCGTATTGTGAAAGCGAGGCTGATTGTAACGCAATTTCGCGCATCGTCGAAGCGCGGTATTCGCCTTCTCCGAATATATAATGTGGGCTGGGGTCATTCTTCCCCCACCCACGTCTCTCATTTTTACAATCGCTCAAGTTCAATTCCCACCCACCCTCCCCATGAAAGTCATCTTCAGATACGGTAGTAGTAGTTCTTAGACATTTTGAATTTGATATTATATTATTATTATTGCTAGGAACCATTGTACTTGAGCACCATTGTAATGAGATCGATGCCAATTGCTACAGAAGCAAGCTTTCTCAATTGATTGATCAGTCGATGAACATGGTCGTCAGCGAGCTCTGAGACGCTGGCCATCGCAACGCGTGTAGCTCAGGAAGCGAGACAACTCTTTGCCTGATGACCTCACCCACACACCCACACGCTCCCCTCTTGTGATGAAACGGTTTTTTACACACGTCAAGAATCCTCTCACCCGTAGTCTCTCCGGTTTCCCCCCTCCGGTGCCTCGCATAAACTGGCATAAAAGCAGTTGTGATTCGGAGACTTAGCTGCTGGTCGGTGTTTTTTCTGGTGCGCGGTTGCGTTAGGGGAAGCTCTTGTGTGTGTGCAGGGTGATGTAAGGCCGTGAGAGGAGTGCAATGCTTTCTACGATCCTGCCTGCTGCTTGAACCATCACCACCATCATCAGCACCAGTTGCATCTGCAGAGGCAGCAACAGCCGCAGCAGCAACAGCAGCAGGTGCAGTTGCGGCGACAATGCTGCTACCATCACAGCCCATACCACCATCAGCAGCAACACTACTAAACTCCCCACCACCATCACTCATACCAGCATCATCCTCCTCCTCCCCCTCCTCCTCCTCTTCCTCCTCGTCTCCCTCCTCACCACTATCATAACTATCACAGCATTCGCCCCCACCCCCCTGCTCACGGTCCCAACCAGACCTCCCATCTGCACCATCAGCACTCCTCCCCACCGCATCAGCACAATCCCACTGCTCCTCCTGGTCGTCCCACAAGCCCCCACCTCCCCACACCCCTCCGTATCCCCTTGCACTAGACTGAAGCTCAAACAACCCCTCACCCTCACCCTCCCATGTGCGGGACCCACCTTTCCAACAGGCAGTTTTGGGATCCACACTAACATTAACAGCAAAATCAGCATCAGCATCAGTAGCAGCAGCAGCAGCAGCAGCAGCAGGAGGAGCAGCACGAGCAGCAGCTGCTGCACCAGCATCAGCAAGAGCTGTGGCCTCAGAAGAAGCATTGGGTGTTGAGAATATGGAGGAGAAAATTCTCCTGGATGCGGGGGATTGGATGAGAGGAGGGACGGAAGACTCAGAGCACAATGCTGCTGCTGCTCCTGCATCCGCGGCTACTGGTGGTGGTGATTGTCGTGGTGGTGGTGCTGCTGCTGGTTCTGACAATCCTGCTGCTGCAGCTAATGGTGATGCTCCAGGCGAAAGAGCGAGGCGGGAAGGACAGGCAGGGGAAGGTAACGAGGGTGGTAACTGGATTACCAGGCATGGGCAAGAGATGATGGGTGCAGGGGTACAGGCGTGAGGGAACCGGGAAGGAGGTGGCAGAGTTGAAACAACAGAATTGTCGCTCCTGCTGCTGCTGCTGCTGCTGTTGTAGATGCTGTGGGTGGTGGTGCTGCTGCTGTTGCTAATGCTGCTACTCCTGCTGATACTGCTGGTGCTTCTGCTGGTGCTGTTACTGCTGGTGCTTCTGCTGGTGCTGTTACTGCTGGTGCTTCTGGTGTTGCTGTTATTGCTGCTGCAACATCTGTTGCCTATAACCCTGTCTTGCAAATCCCTAGACCAGCAAACAGGAGGATTGCAGCAGAAAAGGGGATCAAGGAGCGGATAGGGATCATTGAGCAGTAGAGATTGTGGATTATAGCTTGTGGATTGTGGATTGGTGCAGGGGTTACGGTAGCAAAGAGCGGAGCGGCAGGGAGAAGCAGAGAGGGGGGACGAGAAACAGGAAACGTGCTCTTTTTCTTCATATTTGAGACAAGTGGAGGGGGGCGGGCATGACAAGGAGTGCAGGAAGCCTGTGTGAGGTGGAAGTGGATGAGTGGAAGGGTATTGACTTGGATGGTGCTGGTTAGAAGGTCCTGCTCTCGAAGGGTGCACGTTTATATGGTGGTTGGCGGGGTGCCTACAGGAAGAGGGCTGAAAGGAAGAGTGTCGGTAAGAAGAGTGATGGCAGCAAGAGTGTTGGTTGGAAGAGTGTTGGCATGATGGGCTGTGTATGTGTTGTCGCGGAATTGCCCCACTCTGCTCCTCATGCTGCTCTCTTCGCATTTGCTGCTGCTCTGACTGCTGGTGTGAGGTTACAAAAGGTTCCTGACCCTTTTCGCTATTTCCACCGGCCAAAACCCCACACTCGCGCCCACTGATGTTGTTGCTACTGTTGTTGCTGCTGCCACTGCTGCTACCACTGTCGCTGCCGCTGCCTCGACCACAACTGTTGCCCCTGCTACTGCTCGTGCCACTGCCACTGCTCGTGCCACTGCCACTGCCACTGCCACTGCTACTGCTACTGCTGCTACCGTTGATACTGCAACAGCCGTTGACATTGCCAGTGGCAAGGCCACCACGATTGCAACTACTGCTGTTACCACTCCCACCAGCACCTGTGCTGCTGTTGCCACCACCACCACTTCTCCCCCCACCACCACCACCACTGCCGCCACCACCGCTGCCGCCACCACCACTGCTGTTGCTGCCACTGCCCCCCCTGCCCCCACTGCCCCCACGGCCCCCACTGCCACTGCCCCCAGTGGCAGTAGCATCAGCAGCAAAAGGCGGGGGCCTTTGCCTGCCTGCCCTCCCTCCTCCCCCTGCTCCTCCCCCTGCTCCTCCTCCTGTTCCTCCTCCTCCAATTTGTTGTTGCAGGGCGTGCTGCGGCAGCTCTTGCTGCTCGCTCTGTTAAGTGCATGTGGGGTTGGGGGGAAGAGGGAAGGAGGAAGACGGAAGACGGATGAGGGAAAGGAGACAGGAGAAGGAAGGGAAAAGAGAGAAAGGAGGGTGAGACGGCGCACTGTGGCAAACCCTGCTGCTCGCTCTGCTTGATGCATGAGGGAGGGGAGACGATTCGGGTGAGATTGGAAGGGAGACGGAAGGGGGAAGCGCGGGAAGGCGGGAAGGGAGAAAGGAAGGTACGGGGTGGGGAAGCAGGGGAGAGGAGAGCGCAAGTGGCGCAAACCAAGTACATGACTCGGCTTACGGTTATATGGCATGTTATAGTATAGCCGCTATACTTAAAGGCATGCTGGGGAGCATGCTGTGTGGCATGCTGAGGGGGCATGCTGAGGGGGCATGCTGGGGAATATGCTAGGTGATACACTCCTTTCTCCATCCTGCCTCACATGCCCACGCCTGCACCCATCCACCTCACTTCATACCCACCCACCTTGCGTCACCGCACTGCACCCCACATCACCACACTGCACCCACGCACCTCGCATCGGTTCCAGAGGAAGATGGCAATGTGGTTGAGGAAGGCCGCTGCTGTGGCAAAGGCCAGATAGGAGAACCCTGGGGGGACAGGGGGGCGGAGACCAATAGTGGGAAGGGGACGAAAAGGGACCTAGAGTTGAGACCAACGAGGTGGTGACTTTTGAGTCGAATCCAGAGGAAGATGGCAATGTGGTTGAGATAGGCCGCTGCTGTGGCAAAGGCCAGATAGGAGAACCCTGCAGGGATGGGGGGACAGAGACTGGGGAAGCGGACAGGCCGAGGGGCATTATGAATGGCCGTCAATGGGGTGACTTTTTAGCCGACTGCAACAAAGAGACTTTTGAGTTAAACCAGGAGAGGAGGATGGCATTGTGGTTGAGGAAGGCCGCAAACCAAAAGAAACGGAGGGCGGAGGAAGAAAGGTGACTTGGGGAAGAAAAGGGGGAGGTGGTCCGGAAGTCAAGAAGGGGTGGATCTGGGGATAGGAAAGGGGGATTGGGGATGTTGTATCGTTGCTGATTTCTTAGGCCGTCAGAAGAAGAAAGAAGTGGGTGGGGGAAGGGCAGGTATGACACGCACCGTAGGTGAATGTGAAGAAGTAGACGTGGAAGAGGAGGAAGAAGAGGAAGAAAGAAGAACTTGGGGAAGAAACAGCGACTTTTTGAGACGCCTCAGATGGGGCAGGGCAGGGCAGGTATGGCGCACCGTAGGTGAATGTGAAGAAGTAGACGTGGAAGAGGAGGAAGAAGAGGAAGAAGAACTTGGGGAAGAAACGCCGCGACAAGGGGGAGCGGCAGCTGCAGGGAAACAGGCAGGCAGGCACGGGTAAAAAGGAGCAGGTGCAGAGTGGGAACAATGAGCAGAGCAAGCGCAGAAGGTTAGGTGCAAAGACCAGCAGGTTCAGAAGCTCATGCTCAGAAAGATTTGGCCAAGGCCAGGTTCAGAAAGATTTGGCCAAGGCGAGTTTCAGCTTTTAGCAGTGCTGGCCAAGGCTGGCACATGCTGTCTGGAAGCATGCTAGAGCAGAAGCAAGAACTGGTAACATCAAAATGGGATCCAGAAACTAGGCATAAAGGCGTTACTGTCGTCACTACCCTACCCCCACCCCACCCACTGCCTACCTGATGAGCGTGAAGATTTCGCAGAGCCACACGAGTGTGAGAACCATGAAGGCCAGGAGCTGGTCGTCGTAGAACTCAAACAGGAAGAAGAGAATACCGATCATGATCTGGGGGGGAGTGGAGCAGAAGGAATGGTGAGAGGAGGAGGGAAGAAAGGGAGTGCTTGAGATGTCTCAAAGGCAGCTGAGCTGGTCGTCGTAGAACTCAAAGAGGAAGAAGAGAATGCCAATCATGAACTGAGGGGAGGAAGGGGGGGCGAAGCCAAGGGGGGTGGATGGGAAGGTGACTTGACTTGTGAGTTGAGTCCAGGAGAGCATCGTGTAGGCCAGGAGCTGGTCGTCATAGAACTCAAAGAGTAAGAAGAGAATTCCGATCATGATCTGAGGGGGAGGGAGGGAGTAAGGGGGGGTGGATGGGGAGGTGACTAAGTGAGTCCAGTAATGAGTCGAGTCTAAGTGAGCACAGTGAAGGGTAATGGCTGGTCGTCATACAACTGAAAGAGCAGAAATGAAGAAACAAGGTTTAGGATAAGACAAAAAAAATCAAGAGACAGAAAGACGATTAGACAAAGGAAGGATCAGGTAGGCCAAAGCACAAGGCTCACAGGGACGGAGACGAGGGATTCGAGGATGCTACAATTCTTGAGTCGACTCAGCAATGGTGCGCCATTTTTGACCTAGCAACAATGGCACCCACATGGTGCTTGTGCACTACTAGTGCACTCAAGGGAATAAGACGAGGGACTCGAGGATGTGCATGGCTGAATGTGGGGGGTCAGACTGTTGAGCCGACTCAAAGACGGCCCACCCACCCACCCATCACAGCACCAACCTTGTGGTGCTGCACTGCACTGCACTGCACTGCACTGCACTCACGGGGATGAATACGAGCGACTCGAGGATGTGCATGGCGATGAGGCGGAACGTGGGCAGGCGATGCCTTGCATGGTGGTGCAAGGCGACTGGCGGAGGGAGGGCGGGAGGGAAGAGGGGTGGTGGCGGTGGTGGTAAAGGGGGGGGGAGAGTGGGGGTGGGGGGTGGGGGGGTGGGGGAGGGAAAGCCAAGTTGGAACACTCACGACATGTGAGGCCCCCCTATCAAAAAGCAATCAAGTCATGGTACAGGTGGCAGTAGGGCAATGGAGAGCGCAGCAGCACCAGACTCTCACCCTCACCACCACCACCACCACCACCACCACCACCACCACCACCACCACCACCACCACCACCACCACCACCACCACCACCACCACCACCACCACCACCACCACCACCACCACCACCACCACCACCACCACCACCACCACCACCACCACCACCACCACCACCACCACCACCACCACCACCACCACCACCACCATCGTTACCACAACCCAACCCAACCCAGCCCCCCACCCGCATCACCTTCACCACCACCACCCACCCCCCTCTCACTTGTGAGCTTGAGCATGCGGCTCTGCGTCTCTCCGAAGGTGAACGATTTTATCATAAGTGAGAGCAACCACCAGCATCATCACCACCACCACCCTCACACACACCGCCACCACCACCCACCCCCGACTTACTTGTGAATTTGAGCATGCGGCTCTGCGTCTCTCGGAGGGTGAAGGATACCGCGAGGAGGGTCATGAAGAATATGAACACTGATGTGAACACCACTCCAATCTTGAACGAAATCACGTCTGCCAAGGGGGGTTCAGTGCGGTTCAGCGGAATTCAGAGAGGTTCACTTGATTTCAGTGAGGTGAGTGGGGTTGAGTAGGTTTGTAGGCAGCAATAAGACTTCCTTACCCCCTTCTTCCTTCTTCCCACTATGCCTTTTTCCTCAAAAACCCACTTCCTCCCCCCCTGCTCGTTTGCTCCTTCCTTCCCAGTCCTAACCATAAATGAGCCCCGGCGCTTACCTTCAAAGGAGGTAGCAGCAGCTCTGCCCCTGGTGGCAGCGAGATTGAGGTCATATAACTCCTTGGTGTGTGCGTTGTACAGGAAACCTGGCGGGGGTGGGGGGGGGGGGGGGGGGGGGGGGGGGGAGGAGAGAGAGAGAGAGAGAGAGAGAGAGAGAGAGAGAGAGAGAGAGAGAGAGAGAGAGAGAGAGAGGGGAGTTACAAAGGAGGGAAAGGGGGTGCGGTGCAGGGGGTCAGGTTCTTTTCTTTGGTGTTTTCTTCTGGCTCTGCCTCTGGTGGCAGCGAGGCTGCGGTGCGGTCAGGCACAGGCGGGCGGAGAGGGGTTGGCGGGAAGAGGGTGCGGGAAGGGAGGGAAGGGGGAGGGGGGAGGTTGGGGGCGGGGGGGGGGGGGGCTAGGTAGGATCCATGGAGACTTGCTCCAGCACTGGGTGACAACGAGGAAGGTTATTTTCTTCTCCTTTATGCGTTCTTCGTTTTGTTTTGCTCGGTTTCAAAATTTCCTCTCTCTTTTTTTTTTTTTTTGGGGGGGGGGGGGGTTCCAAGTTGACTCAAACAGCAAAAGGGTTAACCATGCACCCCACATGTGGTCGCACCTTTCCCTCGTGAGGAGACGAGGGAGTTCATAAGAATGGTGTCGCACCCCACCACCAGATCCACCAGCACACTCTCCCATGCTATGCCACATGCCATGCCATCCAGATCACAAGGAGAAGACCTTCTGAAAGAGGTCGCACCTTTGCCTCGCGAGGAGATTAGGGAGTTCATGAGGATGGTGTCGTACCCCACCACCAGATCCACCAACACACTCTTCCACCTGCCGCATGCGGAGCAAGTGTGCATGCGTGCAAGTGCGCATGAGTGCATGCGTGCATGTGTGCACGAGTGCATGAGTGCATGTGTGCATGAGTGCATGAGTGCATGCGTGCATGCGTGTATGTGTACATGTGTGCATGAGTGCATGTGTGCATGCGTGCATGTGTACATGTGTGCATGAGTGCATGAGTGCATAAGTGTGCACATGGCATGGGTGGTGACAGGCGCAGTGATGAGTGAGTTCACCAAGATAGTGTTATTGTATCCCACCACCACATCCACCAACACACTTGTATGAACAAGTGTTTTGAGATGTCTCAAAACACTTCTTCATACACGTGTGTTCATGAGGATAGTGTTGTTTTGTATCCCACCACCACATCCACCAACACACTCCTCCATTCCACCTGCCGCATGCGGTGCATGCGTGCATGTATGGTGATGACAGGCACAGTGATGGGGTATACATGCATCCACATTCCATACAAACATAGCCTTAAAAAAACTACAAAAGTGACGAGCCACCCCAACATCCCCACCACTCCATCCCCATCACCACCCCTTGAGCGGTGAAGCAGCGGTTGTGAGTGGGGATGCTCTTGTTCACAGACCGCACTCCCACCATCCCCACCCTCCCCACCCTCCCCCCCCCCCCACCCCCACCACCACCCCAACCATCCCCACAATCCTATAACCCCCTGCAGCACCCACCAGGCACCAAAGCAGCGGTTGTGAGCAGGGATGCTCTTGTTCACAGACCGCACTCCCACCATCTCCTTGGCTGCCTCTGACATTGCCAGATACGCCTGGTTGGGACGTGGGATAGCATGGTGAAGGGATGGAGGGATCTCGAATTGACTCAGGTGTCGCCTCAGAGGGATGCTCTTGTTCACAGACCGCACTCTTACCATCTCCTTGGCTGCCTCCGACATTGCCAGATACGCCTGGAGGGTGGGTGGGTAGGTGGGATAGCAGGGCCATAATAGAGAAAGGGAGGGAGGTGTCACCTCAGCAGGGATGCTCTTGTTGACTGACCGCACTCTCACCATCTCCTTAGCCGCTTCTGACATTGCCAGATACGCCTGGTGAGGGGCGGGCACGATAGCGGGAGTAGTTGATTGGTTTGACACAGCACATAGGAGCGGACATGGGGTGATAAGAGGAGGAAATGTGGGAAGGGCAGAGAGTAACGAGGGGACGAGGGAGGAATGGGGGGGAGAAGATGAGGGGAAGGTGGAAAAAGAGGAATATAAGCAGTTGGTGCTGATACAGTATCTCCAACGTAACACCGAGAAAAGCAGAGTAAGAGGCAGAATATCAGAGCCGGGGGGAGTAGATGATGAGAGGGGGATGATAAGGCAGAATATAAACTAAAACACACCTTTTCTTCTGTGTAAACGAACAGGGGCGCCTCAAAACGCGTACGTAGGGACTCGGGAAAGACTGATGGTAGATAGGGGGAGTGGGTAGATGGGAATGAGACGACAGGCAGAGCATGATTGGTAGGACTGGAATGGTGGGATGGATGGTGAAAGCTCATGGGATGTTCACATGGGAGTGAGTGAAAATGAGAGCAGAGCAGGAAAGGGAGGGGCGAGAGGAGGAAGAGAGGGGAGGAGGGACGGATGAAGGAAGGAGGAAAGGTAGCATGGAAGAGAAACTTTATTTTTTGGAAGCAGGAGGGGTTAAACGAACCACAACAGCACACAGCACAGCACAGCATAGCGCAACAGCACAGCACACAGCACAAAGCACAGCACAGCATAGCGCAACAGCACAGCACACAGCACACAGCAGAGCATAGCGCAACAGCACAGCACACAGCACAGCATAGCGCAACAGCACAGCACACAGCACACAGCACACAGCAGAGCATAGCGCAACAGCACAGCACACAGCACAGCATAGCGCAACAGCACAGCACACAGCACACAGCACCGCACAGCACAGCACACAGCACCGCACAGCACAGCACACAGCACACAGCACCGCGCAGCACAGCACATCCCATCCCATCACATGGCATCTCATCTCACGGTGGGCCAGCCGCTCTGATCGGTTGCGCCCCGAGGTCACAGTGGCAATGGGGGTGGACGCAGCTCCCCTTAAGCCCTCTCTCTGCACCCAGTCGGGGGGAAAGGAGGGAATGGGGGTGAAGATAAAGTGACGGAGGGGGGGGGGTTCGGGGGGAAGTTGGGGGAGGGAAGGGAGGGGGGGGATGTTTGTAAAAGCGAGGCTCTTTCAGAATGCCCTTTGTAGACAAAGGGCTGTTGTGTCCCCACAACTGCCGGCGATGGGGGTGGACACAGTTCCAATCAAGCAGCACTCCCTTTGCAACCAGTGCACTCCCTGTACCGCCCCATTACAGTTGCAGGCACACAAGGCCTCGTCGGTATCATACCATACCTTCCAATGCCAGCCCATTCCAGCCCATACCATACCATCCCAACTCATCCCAACCCGTACCAGTTGCAGGCACAGGATCTGCAGGAAGCGCCACAGCTGCCGTCCACGCTTAGCTACCCCTCATTCAAACCAATTAGCCCATCCCATCGCACACCACACCACACCACACCTCACCACCCACTCGGCTTGTACCCCACACACACACCAGTTGCAGGCACAGGATCTGCAGGAAGCGCCACAGCAACTGCACGTCCACGCGCAACCGCCTCTGCGTCGCGCGCAGCAGCCCCTCGTTCAGAGCATGCCCCACGCGCGCCCACCCGCGCCCCTGCCATCCCCCCGCTCCCCCTCCCGCCGCTGCTGCGCCCCCCCCTGCCCCTGCTGCCGGCTCGCCACCCCCCCCTCCCCCAGGTTCCGTTCCCCCCAACCCCGCCAACTCCCCCAGCCCCCCCAACCCTCCTGCAGAGCTCTCTGCACTCCCTTCGAGGGGCAAGTCAGCGCCACCAGAGGGGGAAGTAGATCCCCCCTGGGGGAAGTAAACATCGCTATCCGCGCGTGTAGCGGCGGAACCCTGCTGCTCGGGAACAGAGGGACCGCGCAATTCTAGCTCCTGCTGCTCCTGGGGGTTAAGAATTCCCTCCGCATATCCCGCCACGCAGCTGCTGCTGCTACTGCTGCACGAATTGCTCTCTCTTACCATTACCCCCATGCCTGCCGCTTTCCCCGCTTCCCCGCACCCCTCCAACCTCTCCTCCCCTCCCCCAACCCCGCACTGCCCCTCATTTTCCCCCGTCTCTGTCCCCTCACCGAATCCTGCCACACATCCCCCCGCAACCGCTTCCTCTCCGCCGCCCCCCGCTTGTTCCCCCCCCGCAACCCATAAATCCCTTCCGCCACTGCCCCCTTCCCCCGCGCCCTTCCGCGCGCCACCTGTTACGCCTATCCCCTCGCGTTGCGCCGCGGGGGTGGATAGCTGCAGGAACGGCGCTTGGCGGAGCAAGCCCAAGCCAGTTCCGGAAATCTGCGCGGATGAGGGAATGCGCGGAGGGGCGTGGATGGAGAAGCGCAGGGGCGCGGATGTGAGGAAAGGGGCGGGAGAAGGCACTCATTCGTTGGATTAGCTTGACCTAATCCAACCAGCTAACGCAGCTTAACCGCCCCCCCCTCAACAAGGATTCACTCGAGTGCGTAAACGTGAAGAGCGGGAGGGGGATGTCGGGAAGGGGGGGAGGAGGGAGGGATTGGAGCCACGAGCGGCAGAGATGAAACGCTGACCGCCAGTCAGCAGAGCAGAGCAGCACGCTACAATCCGCGAAGCGGAGTTAAGGCGCTACTTGAGCCGCGGAGCGGGAAACGCACCTTAATTAGCAGCAGCTGCGGCTGCGGGCCTTCGTCTGGCTCGAATTCAGCCGCGCACGACGGCTGCGCGGAGGAATCGGGGGAAGGAAAGGTCGGCGCAGGGAGGGCGTGGGGTAGGGCAGGGTCGGGGAAGGGACGGAATGGGGAGGGAGAGGGGATGGGGAGGAGATGAAGTGGGGGGATGGAGGGAAGGGATGCGGTACAGACTACGGGGACGGTTGACCTGGGATAATACTTCAGAATCCAACCAACTAACGCGAGTATCTAGTAGGGGCAAGTCACAGTGTTGAATCGAGTTTGTACGTTCGGTGTTTACTCAGAGTTTCAAGGGTTAATTTCTTTCGTTGATTGACTATCGTCTTTTGCTAAAGCGACCTCTAGTACCGCTGCTCTTCTTCATGACCAGTGACCCATGGGACTTTGACAGTCCGGGAAGAAACTTCAGCAGCAGCAACAGCAACAGCAACAGCAACAGCAGGAGGTGCTGGAGCCTGCGTCAGAATTGCCCCAAAAGAAGACCCCAGCGAGGTGACTTTTGAGTTGACTCAAAAGTCAACTAGGATCCTACCTGATGAACGAACGTGGAGTGCATGAAAAACAGAAGCAGCAGCAGCGCGACGGCGATCAGAAGCAGCAGATACTCGACAGCCTTGCGCAGGTGCGGTGTGAGCCCGTGCAGGCAGTACGCGCAGATGCGCGCGCGCAGGCACCGGAGCGCGGAGCCAGGCCTCCGCCTCCTTTCCGCTCGCCGACTCCTCCGGTTGGTTGAAGGCATTTTGTAACGATTTTCTAACGAGGATGGAGGCGGGAGGGAACGTCGCTTGAAACGCGGCGAAGACGTCGCGATTGTGTATGTCTGATGCTAAATAGGCTCCGTGCAAGCGCGAGGGATCTAAGCGTCAGATATGCTACACTTTGAACATTGTCGCCAAATCAGGAGGCCACTACGAACAAGAGAAACCGACAATGAAAAGCGTCGTTTGCTGACGGGGACTCCCCGCTTATGAATTTACGAGTCGAGGCCTCTAAAACCAGTATAGCCTGACAAGCAGTCAGTCCGAGGTGGACTAAAGTACAACATAGTAGCGTGTGGAGGTGTCGGACTAAAAATAGGTGGTCACGTCAACAAGGACAACTGGTAGAATTGTGTTCAAAAACAAAATGCCACTCAAGCGTCCATGTCAAAAATACATATAGCACTTCTCCGTATTTTGAACTTCTCCATATAGCCTTCAGAGCTGCAGGCACAGATGAATGAAGAGTGGAGAGCTCTTCTTCCCAACCAGGCTAAACCGAACCGAATCGAATAAAACCTGCCCAAAAACATCCATACCTGCTGACCCTCCCACCTGCCCGAACAGACATCCAAGTCAGGTGGAGTAGTAGTGCCGACGCAACTCATCCATCATCCATCCGTTCCGCTCCTGTCATTTGCGCTTAAACTGGATTGGGGCCGGATTGCGTATCGCGCAGCTCCAGTTTGTGAAGCGCGGGGCTGGCGGTCCGCGGACCTTCCACGGTGGTGGGGAGGAGGGGTGGGAGAGGGTAGGGAAGGGGGTGTCTTGTCCTCAGCCGGGGAATCGGCGCCGCAACTCCTTCCCCAACAGCTTGAACCAGCGGCACGTGAACAGCAAAGCATGGGTCAGTGGGAGGGGGTAGGCTGGGCAGGCGGGCAGGTGTGCAGTCGGGCAGGCGGGCAGGTGTGCAGTCGGGCAGGCGGGCAGGTGGGCAGTTTCGCGTGGTTCTAAAACCTGGAAGTTGGGTCATCTGCGGGAATCCCGAGGTGAACATTGCGTGGGTTTGTCGACCAGATTGGGACGTCGTGGAATTGATCACATAATCGTTGTCAGCGGATCGCAAGGAAGGGAATGTAGTCAGTTGACTAGAAACTCCAGAATTTACGTTCTGGAAGAAAGGCTTGGGGCAACCCCCGCCAAAATGGGTATCCTTCTGATCAAAGGTCAGTGGTCGCCTTGTTGACTCACTGCCAGCACACCCAGGTCTATGGGGACGGAAAAACACGTGTGCAGCAATAGAGGCTGGAATGGGACCACCCACCTTGTCTCGGAACTCGATAATGGATGTGAACACTATCAATAATGTAAATGTTGAAACATCTAAAAAATGGCCATGAAAGCATACCATACCACCGTCATGTTTCTACTTCCTTGGGGATAGTTCTCTGAAGTATGATTAATCTTATCAGACAATGAATCTGGTCAAGGACCGTGCTCTGTTGATGTCCGCAGGGCAGCAAATGTAAAGAACATTGTTTACATGGCCAGAAGGACTGAGTCTCAGTCGGGCTGGATTACCACAGCTTTCAACGAGCATTAGGAGGATACGAGCAAGCGGTTCTATTGAATCAAGGGGAAAACAAGTATGATTTCATTACATAACCCATACGTGCGTCCAACACAGTTAGCTGACACGCATGTACAGGGAGGCCATCACAAACAATCTACAGATCAATGGCGCGCTTGCCACTGAACTTCACAGCTGCGGGATCCACGTTCTTGCCAATAGAGCGGAGGTTCACGTTCGCGTTGGCACGGCCAGCATTCACCTTCTCGGGGTACACACCATCCTTGGGGTGAAGGTACTGGACCTCACCGCTGGGGAACACTCGGTAGAATTGGTAGTTGATCTTGAACTTGGTGCGGAGCAGTGTACCGAGAGCGAGGCACTGCTCCTTCCTTGCGAGCTTCAGCAAGTTAGGGCCGGACCTCATGATGGCGGCACCACCGGTGGGCATCTCGAAGATCTGCTCCTTCTTAGACTCCCAGGTGATGACATAGAACTCCTCGACCTGAGCCTTACGGAGAAGGCCGCCAGTGCTTCCACCGAAGATCGGGGAGGGAGTGTCAGACTTCAGCTCGGGAGGAGAGAAGCCCTCGGGAGCCTCCGCCGCCATTGTCAAGCGGGAGGAGATGGCGGAGGACGACACCCGGAGGGGCGCGCCAGCGACGAAGCTGCTGCCATTGAGCTTCTTCTGGCTGTTGGCCTTCAGGGAGAAGGCAGCAACGCGCACGGCGGAGGACGACGCAATGGCCGCCATTGTAGCAGTGCAATCGTCTGACGATAAGGAAAGAGGAAGCAGGGTTGCTGTCAACAAACTGATCAGAGAATGCCACCAAAAATGACTACCTTGCTCAGCAGGTCGTGCGACAAGCAGCGTGTCTGAGGAGCATCACACACATAGCTCCGCACTTCGTATGGGAAAATCGCAATCCAGCGTAAACGAATCAGCGAGGGTACACGTGGACTAGACACCGATTCCATTGGTACTCCAGAAGTCCTCCCAACTTTGCCGCGAGGCATACAGATGGGGCCGTGCCCGCTCAGCACCAGAATTGCCACGTCACCTCAGCACTCAGGGATTCTGTCAGTGAATTAGTTGGGTTGGGAACATGCGATGAATGAATGCACAATATTCTCGAGATACATGCGTATACACGCGTAGTGATATGACGAATTTTGTAAACAAAACACGAAGTGCAATATTTCTTTACATCTCAAAGCTCGCGGCCCAAATTGCGGGCCGCGCAGGGCAGGATTACTAATATTGGACACTTCTCTTTTTTTTGTTGTGCTGTATCTTGGCGAACATTTGGTTATGGTAGTTGCGACACATTTTGATCGGTCGAAGCGACACTCGTTGCAAAAACGTCAAGTTTCTCATGTCTGCAATTTAGGACTCTCAGTCCCAAAACACACGATCCCCCCTGAAGTTGCTGACTCAGCAAAAACCACGAACTGTTAAGATTGGTGGGGCGAAATCAAACAAACCACGTACCCAACAGCTGCCTCGACTTTGGGTTCGCCACTCTCAGCCCAGCGCAAGAACATTATAGCTTATGCTTTTGTGTAGGCTATACTGGGGTATCCCATAGGGGGTACAACCCAATTAGGGTTAGTACTTGTACCCACTTCATTCATAGTTGATTTCATTCGCGTTCACTCTTTCACATGGTATCAGAGCAGGTCCCCTCCTAGGGACTGTTCCCAGGGCTCACCGAAGCGCGCCCCGAGGCGCGCGTTCCTTTTTTTTTAGCGACCGTCCGTGTCGCCCCTAGCGGCCCGTTACGCCGCCCTTACCTACGCAGCCCCGCCGCCCTTACCTACGCGGCCCCGCCGCCCTTACCTACGCGGCCCCGCCGCCCTTACGTCGCGGCCCCGCCGCCCTCACGTCGCGGCCCCGCCGCCTCACCTACGCGGCCCCGCCGCCCTCACCTTTGCGGCCCCGCCGCTCTTACCTACGCGGCCCCGCCGCCCTTACCTACGCGGCCCCGCCGCCCTTACGTCGCGGCCCCGCCGCCCTCACGTCGCGGTCCCGCCGCCCTCACGTCGCGGCCCAGCCGCCCTCACGTTGCGGCCCCGCCGCCCTTACGTCGCGGCCCCGCCGCCCTCACGTCGCGGCCCCGCCGCCTCACCTTCGCGGCCTCGCCGCCCTCACCTTCGCGGCCCCGCCGCCCTCACCTTCACGGCCCCGCCGCCCTTACCTACGCGGCCCCGCCGCCCTTACCTACGCGGCCCCGCCGCCCTTACCTACGCGGCCCCGCCGCCCTTACGTCGCGGCTCCGCCGCCCTCACGTAGCGGCCCCGCCGCCTCACCTTCGCGGCCCCGCCGCCCTCACCTACGCGGCCCCGCCGCCCTCACCTTCGCGGCCTCGCCGCCCGTGCCTACGCGGCCCCGCCGCCTTCTCCTACGCGGCCCCGCCGCCCTCACGTCACGGCCCCGCCGCCCACACCTTCGCGGCCCCGCCGGTCTCCCCTCCTGCCGAGCCGCCCGAGCAGCCGCCCGCCACGCAGCCCGGTACCGGAGCAGCCGAGCCGCCCAGCAGCAGTACCGGAGCAGCCGAGCCGCCCAGCAGCAGTCGCCGGGCCGCCTGGCCGCCGAGCCGCAGTTCAGCCGAGCCGCCCAGCAGCAGCCGCCGAGCCGCCGGGCCGCCGAGCCGTAGTACAGCCGAGCCGCCCAGCAGCCGCCGCCGAGCCGCCGGGCCGCCGAGCCGCAGTACCGCCGAGCCGCCCCGCAGCCGAGCCGCACTACTGCCGAGCCGCCCGACCTGCCCTGTCTGGTGAGCACAGCCCCACTGCTACTGCGTGCCCTTCCCCCACCGCTTGCACTGCTAGTCTGTCGTCATGGCTACCCCTAGTGTCCTCGCTTTTGACGCTGAGGGTCGAGCCATTGACTTTGAGGTCTGGGTCGACGACCTGCAGCTGTTTTTACAGTGCGATAGGGCGGACGGTCTTTCTCTCTTTGACCTCACCTCTGGCGCCTCCCCTGCTCCTGCTGCTGATGCTAACCCCACTGTTCGCTCTCAGTGGGCCACCCGCGATGCTGCTGCACGTCTTGCTGTGCGTCGCCACCTGCCTACCACTGAGCGCGCGCACTTTAGTCAGTACAAGAGTGCTCAGACCTTGTACGACGCTGTAGTTGCGCGCTACTCTTCCCCTGCCACTGCTGCACTGAGCCGCCTCATGCTACCGTACCTCTTTCCTGACCTTGCTGCCTTTCCTACAGTCGCTGACCTCATCACGCACCTCCGCACTTCTGACACCCGCTACCGCGCCGCACTTCCTGCTCAGTTCTGCGCCAAGAACCTCCCCCCCATGTACATCGCTCTCTATTACATAGTCACTCGCCTCCCTGACTCCCTTCGCGTAGTCCGGGACCACTTCCTCTCAGTCTGTCCCACCACCCTCACTGTCGACCTCCTCGAGAAGGCCCTCCTAGCGGCGGAGAAGAGCATAGTCGCTGTAGGAGCCTCTCGTGGTGACCCGCGCACCCCCATCTTTGAGGGGTGTTCTCCTTCCCCCCTGCTGCCCTCTGTTGCCTCTGCTGCTGCTGCCGACCGGCTTGGTCTTGAGTCGGTCGGCGCGGCGTCTGCCCCTAGTGGGAGACGCCGCCCTGGCAAGGGCAAGGAGGGCAAGGGCACGGGTGGAGCTGGCGGGGGCGGTGGAGGTGGCAGTGGCGGTGGCGGAGGGAGTGGGGGTGGCGGTGGGAGTGGTGGTGGGGGTGGTGGTGGTGGTGGCGGCAGCGGAGGCAGCGGCGGTGGCGGCGGCGGCGGTGGGAGCGGAGGCGGCGGTGGTGGCGGAGGTGGAGGCGGCGATGGCGGAGGAGGTGGAGCCGGTCGGGGTAGTGCCCCGCAGCGGAGCGGCTCTGGTGGTGGTCAGCGCCAGCAGCAGCAGCAGCAGCAGCAGCGTTCTCGGGACATCCCCCCGCCTCAGCAGCTCCGTGAGTGGTACACGCAGCGTCAGCGTGGTGGGGGTCTTGGCCCGTGCACCTACGTTCTTCGTTCCGGCGACCGCGCGGGTGAGCAGTGTGGGGGTGCCCACTCCACCCAGCGCTGCTTTGGCCGCCTGACGGACGCTTGACGTCAGCAGTTCCCCGAGGCTAGTGAGATTCCCCGCTGGGGAGAGCTGTGTAGGGCTGGCGTAGCGATCTTTGATCTTGACTTTGATGCTATCGTTGCTGCCATGTATGCTGTGACTATTAGTGATGAGGGTGACTGTTACCGGTGTTTCCCGCCCGACCCGGGCATTGGTACTGCTGCGCTAGGTGCTTGTGAGGCTACTGCTCTAGGTGCCAGTGCATCTGCACTCTCAGGTACAGGTGAGGCTACGCTCTCAGGTACTGCGTCGGCTTCGGCCTACCTCACCTTTACACTTGACTCAGGGGCTTCTTGCTCCTTCTTTCGAGACTGCACCACACTCACACCGCTTGGTTGGCCGGTTGTAATCTCCCTGGCAGACCCCTCTGGGGGTCCTGTCCTCACTCACTTCTCCACTGTCCTCCCGTGTCCGGCTGCCCCCTCGGGCACCCTGTCGGGTCTGTACCTCCCCTCGTTCTCGATGAACTTGGTGAGTGGTGCTGACCTGCAGGATGCGGGGGTTCACCAGTTTACTCCTGCGAGTCAGCGGGGGACCCACTGCTCGGACGCCCGCACAGGCCGACACCTAGGCACGTTTTCGCGTCGGCCCGGGTCGAGTCTCTACACCCTGACTACTGAGTCTCCTCCAGTCCCTGCGTCTGGCCAGGTAGCTGCGTCGGGTCAGGTGTTTGCTGCTGCGTCGAGGTCTGGTCCTGAGTCTGCCCCCTGCTCGTGTCGCCTCCTGTCTCACGAGACTCTCTTGTGGCACCACCGTCTTGGCCACCCCTCCTTTCCTCGTCTTTGGGGCATGGCTTCCCGTGTCCTTGTCTCTGGTCTCCTCCGGTCTCTCCCTCCCCTTCCTTCGGGGCCAGGACCTTCCTGTGTCCCCTGTGTCGAGGAGCAGCTCCGGGCTGCCCCTCACTCCTCCCAGTTTCCCTTGACAGAGGCTCCTCTGCAGACGCTTCACATCGACGTGTGGGGCCCGGCCCGCGTCCGTGGACAGGGTCAAGAGCGCTACTTCCTGCTGGTGGTTGACGACTACTCGCGTTACACCACGGTCTTCCCCTTGCGCAGCAAGGGTGATGTCACTGCGGTGTTGATCGACTGGATCCGCGCAGCTCGTCTCCAGCTCAGGAGGAGCTTCGGCTCGGACTTTCCTGTTCTGCGTCTGCACTCTGACCGAGGCGGAGAGTTCTCCTCTGGCCTTCTGCGAGCCTACTGTCGTGCACGAGGCATCCGCCAGACCTTCACGCTTCCGGACTCTCCACAGCAAAATGGGATTGCTGAGCGCCGCATTGGCATGGTCATGGACGTCGCTCGTACGTCCATGATGCATGCGGCTGCCCCCCATTTTCTGTGGCCGTTTGCGGTTCAGTACGCGGCGCATCAGCTCAACCTTCACCCCAGGGTCTCCTGGCCGGAGACCTCCCCAGCTCTGCTGTGGACGGGGAAGGTCGGCGATGCGTCTGCGTTCAGTGTCTGGGGATCTCGGGCGTTTGTCCGCGACTTGTCTGCGGACAAGCTGTCCCCTCGTGCTGCTCCCTGTGTCTTCCTAGGCTTCCCCCCTGACGCCCCAGGGTGGCAGTTCTACCACCCCTCCTCTCCTCGTGTTCTGTCCTCCCAGGACGTCACGTTCGACGAGTCCGTCCCCTTCTACCGCCTCTTCCCCTACCGCACTCCTTCC